TAGGGAACAAGTATCATCAATATCGCACTTCAATTCCTTCTGAGTATCGTGCTCAAGTCGTATTAGGCCACTAGATAAATGTCATGATTCCTCCATGAGATTATACATTCAAATGATTCATTGCCTACTTATCTTTATACAATATGACCTGATACTTCATCTCTCTTCTCTCTTCTCTGCACAACCTCCCGCGTGTGACATTTAGGGCCGCTCCATCTACTTATATGCACCACGCTAAAGATCACCTGCTATAGATCGATGACGATATTATCCCTGTGTACACCTATTAATTCCCGCACATTCCCCTCGCAGAATTACTCAAATGTATACACGACACTTGCCCATCCTATTACCTATCGATTGCAACACACAAGCGTTACTCACTATAACCCTGGTAGACAAGTCAACCTATTATCCACATCTCGACACATAAAGTTCCGCTATACAACTTAACACCTGGTGCGCTGACTATAGCCCTACCTATCCCCAGAGCGTTCACGGCTATGACACTCTTCCCCCACTGTCCACACACTCAGCAGCCCTTACCCTGTCCCTCTTCCCCACTTCCCCTCACCTGTGCTTACCTCTTTTACCCTGAGTACCGTGACTCTAGTCACGCTTCAACTGCAAATACCCCTCCCCTATTGCTCTCCTTAGGTTGTCTCCTATAACTTAGCATGACTCCCACTTATGGATTCCCGCATCCGTTCTCCCACTTAGTGCCACGCACCATTCTCCACCGTGTCCTACATCTGTTATCACTCTTCGATCCTCGATCTTTTGCACTTCGACTACCCTTACACCTCCGATCTCCCGATACTTTTAATGCCACAACTAAAATGACTGCCACTCTAAGTACCCACTTTACGCAGTCTCACTTATTCCCTACCACTGAGAGTACTAACTCGTGCTTACGCCGTGATCACACTTCATCTATATTCCCACATTGATCCTCTAATCAACCTTTTAATACCCTGTCACACTCCTCTATACCACACTTATTATCCATGCTATCGAGTTTCCTCTGTTCCTTCATATAACTCTTGACCACACTACTTTAGCTAATATATCACTATCCATCTCCGCTTCTATATATTCCTCACATGGCATTTCCTGGAATAAAAAAAAACAACTTTTGTGCATTATACCACGCAGAAATACACTAGATACAGGAAGTAAGTTCTTTAATTTCTACCCTCGTGCCTATCTCTATTATCTGCTACATTGTGGTTGAGTGTGTTTTATTTTTTTATATTTCATTGCCATTGCATTTATAATCTTTCTCCGCACTTAGACATATAATCGATAATCACCTTTAGTTATATTTGTTTATATTGAATTATTGGATACAGTGGACATCTTCGTTCAGTCTGATTTAAGTCATTACGATTTATATTATCAGGATTATGTATTCGATTATAATTGATTACAAGCAAGGGACGTGTTATGACGACTCGATTAACAGATTGATGAGAATCATACTCTATGATGCATTTAAGAGATAAATTTAAGAGAGTGAAATTATTATATCTGAGTGTTCTTTTTTCCTATTTGTTCAAAATAGTATTTATTGAGGCAGGTGTAATGATGTGAGACGCGAAGAATATTATATATTATCTCCAGGTACAGACTGAGTGTAGGTATTTCACTTAATTAGTGATATTTGAATATTTCTCTCGTATTTTTGATATTATATATTTTAGTAGACTAATTACAATCAATAAGTTAGGGTGATTTTAAGATTATTAATAAGAGGTATTCTCTATATAACGCCTATCTATTAATAAGAAAAAACGGCTATAAATATGTCTATTTAATGTATAAAATAAATTATACTTATTACATATTATAACTTCTGAATTAGTGAAATAAAACAGCTCTGAGTACTGAGTGTGAGTAAGTCTCACCTCATATAGCGGTACATATATATACTGATCACTTGTTCTTGTCCAGTATATTATGTATTTGTAATTGTAATTCTCGTTCACCCTCTACAGCTATCTTTATTATCTCGATATCTCTCTTCTTCGGTTACTCAGTCATACTCTCTTCCTAGAATTACTCTGCTTCTACTCATTTATCTCATTTTCGTCAAATATTACTTATTGTGATCATTTTGATAACCAAGTACTCCACCTCTCTATTTCGACTCAATCATATGACAATTATGTATCGCTGTGATCTGGATCGCTGTGTGGTCGTGATATTATTATCATGTTAGTGCTTGTGTCTGCATTGATATGTGGCTCTCTGATCTCGATGATGTGCTCGCATGCATAGTTTGATGTGGCATCTTCAATCTACTCGATCTTTGATTCCGCATCTTCATCTATTTCATCATATCTATTCCATACTCAACTTCCTAATCATTTACTCTCCTCTCGTTCACATTGATCCTTACCTTTATTCTGACTCACTCATCACTTATACTATATTCGTGACTCAATTATTATTACGCTGTTAGTCATCTCATACTTCGCTCTCGCATACTTCGTGTTCACTTGACTCGTTCTGTGGTCGCTGTCGTCCACACTGCTCTCATCTCTATTCTCGCTGGCATTCTTCCGAATTCAATTGTTACTACCTCTAATTCTCCTCAAAAATACTTATACACTATAGTAATCACACTGGTCACAACACTTTGTGGAGTATACACTATGCAGCAAACTTTATATCTTAGAATCTTACTGACACTTTCATATAACACGGAGTAATGTTAACTCTTCGGGTTCTACCTTACTTCCATCAATTCACTATCCACTCCCTTGGCCTTTATTTATTTGATTTCAGAGGATTAACATTATTACCTTCAGACATAGTGTGGTGCTCGCATTAGTCATCTATTTATTTATATACCTCCAACAATTAACAATTTAATATAAGGATCTGTATCGAGCTATGTGTCACATTAATTCACCAATATATTTACTAATGCATAATCTTCATATCTTATTAATCGCAACTACTATTTTACATGCGGCGAGTATACCTTCTAGTAGGTGGCTCAGGAATAATTAATGCACCTTATGTATGGCACTAAAGTCTATACTTCGCATGATTGATATTTACACTTGCACAAAATAATTACCGGTTAACTAACTTTCACTCGTTGTTTCATTTAATAATAAACCCACTCCTATTAATGGGATGATAAAAGGGTCTCAAAGGTAGTAAAAAAATCTACATCCCCCACTACCATACATCCCGTACGCACAGCACACAGAACACAATTAAATTATCTTAGCACTCCTAAACTCCCGAATATCCTCTACACACATCTCTACATGAATGCTGGAATCATCAAGATATATGACAAATCAAATAAAATCATTAAAAGCTTGTGTACTGATCCAGTAATAATAAGGAAAGTTAGTGGTCGCGACCATCAAACAATATAAAGGAAAGAAAGACAACACTTTTAAATAGATACACAGAATAATTAAGGACAAAATATTAATCCTAAGAAATATATGTCAATTCTGATATAATCATAACTATTAAAGCCACACACTCTGAAAACATGTGGTTAAAATACAACAGATTAGTGTAGAGGTACACCAATTATACGGAGTTGCCAATATTGATACGTCACCAAGCATCCACGACTACATTGCTCTAATACGAATCATGGGCATCAGAAAAAAGAAGAACTCATACGGTTACAATTTGCATAAATATAAGTTATTTAACATATCATACAGTAGTATACGCAGGTACCAACACTAATGTCAGAACTCATATTGAGACGCCAGCATCAAAACTCACTCTTAATGAAGGAGCACATTAATATAGATCGACAATTACTATAGGTGTTATATACAAGTAATCAAATTAAACTTGGAGCGAAGCCTTTAATTTTTGTCACAATTATTGCCCTTTACAGATCTATAATGATGAAGCGCCTAAAAGTTGAAAGTAGTACGACTTAATATACTGATAGTACCCAAACAAGATAAGTGTGAACGGTTCACGAGATGATAATTGCCATAATACAGCCATGCTGAGTAATTAGTACCAGTATATAGAAAAAGGTAAAGTTATACAATAATAAATTGACAAAATAGTTGTATATACCAATAATATAAAGATTTAAATTGTAATGTAATAATTATATCAAATTAAACTTTACGATAAATGGTCAATATTTGTTCAAATTTAGAATATTAATTAACAATTCTAAAATAGCAAGTTTTGTTAATGCTATTTTAACATGTGGCAGTAAAATATATTTACATCTTAATAGGTCAAATTGATAAATCTAAATCCAAGAAAGTTTTCAAAACCTTGACGAGCAACTAAGCTTTCATTAGACCTATGTTAAATCTCCTAGACCCATTAGCGAGCATCGAGTCAACTCAAATACTCTAAGGGCACCCCTAACGCTACAATACATATGCTATAGGCTATAATAGCGCACATGAAGTGGGCGAATTCGGGGGAAGGATCCATATAAACGGGACAGCACACCTGTAGAACAAGGAACAGTGAGAGGCAAGAGGGTAACATTGTAGAGAGTTAAGAAAACAAGAGTATGAGCTAGTGAGAAAGGGGTGAATTATTATGATTCCACTGAAAAGTAGGGAGCTTCGGTAAGAAATATAACAAGAAAGTTAAGTATTGGTCACACCTGTTTTACACATCAGTTTAGCAAGATCTGTGGAAAAAGTCATAATTCTAACATTATAAACTATTTCCAGTCTAGTTTCTTATTTATGTGAGTACAGTGCAAATAGTCATTTAAGATATTTGCACTAGTGAGTATACACACCAATTTGTTTTAGTTTTTCTTCTATGTATATAAAATGTTAAATAAATCATGACTACGCTAAATAATATTGAGCCGGATATTCTGAAGACTCGAATGGAATGTGAGATGTGTATAGGATTTAATCATCTAATCCAATAAGAGTTACCACAAAACATTACATTAATTTGTGCCTGAGTGTGTTAAGCACTTGTTTTCTTAGAAGAGAAGACATATTAGCTGACATAGAGTAAGTATGAAGTATAGGGTCAAGCTAGATCTTGAGCAATTTTCTCTCTCAATTTATTAAGGAAATTATATTACCATTCCTGTCTATATACAAAACAATAGATAAATGATATGAACTATTTTGTGAAGGCGAAAATAAGAGTAGAAGAAGAGTTAAGAAATAATAGCACGGTGTATCAAATATACCGGTAATGAGATATAGCACTCGCAAATAAAGATAAACAAAATATTCGTTTTTGAGATATATTACTAGACACTCTCATTTAGTAGCAGAGTCATCTAGGGTTCAGTCAGAGGAATAAGAGAGCCCCAGTAGGACACAAAAGGTTTTGTTTCGGTATGAAGACATTTCTATATGAGCCTTTTTCCTTAAAATGCACGTTAGTACGACGCGCCGCTAAAAAAACAAAGCGTGTAAATTCTCGCTAACACTATGTAGTAAAGAGAATCCCCAGTATTTGTTTCGTTACGTTTAAATCGGTATGAAGTCGGGATAGTCTCCAAATCAGCGCTTTTATGACTAACGCGAAATATTTTCCTATATTTCCATATGTGTGAGATCAGAGAACAATGAAGTGTAGACGAGGAGGAAATTCTTATCGAACATAAAGGCCCAATTTCTAGTCATTTATTTTACCTTTTTAACACCTACAATAAGAACTTTTTTAAAAAAGTGATACGTCAAAGGAAACCTACAATATGAAAAAACAAATGTACTGATAATGCCATTATACGCTAAAAGATCGGACTGCTAATACGTTTTCACAATGTTAGATGTGGATGTACTTGTGGACCTTCGCCACTTGAAGATTACAAGTACACCTTGAATAAAAAGGTTCTTATTTTATATGAATATGTGTACTTCCACGAGAGAGTAATTAAATGTGAAAGTGGAATTGGGAATAATAATGGTTAGGTTGTGTGTTTGTGGTAGAGTAATGGCGTAGATAAATAAACCACAACTCTATCGTCAGACCATGGTGCTAAGTTGAAATAACAAGTGATTTTTGGTATCGTGTTGAGGACTAGAACTCATTTAATTTGAAATTCGTAGTGCTCTGCTGGAAATACGTACGTGAGTAATGCCAGCTGTGAGTACTTAAATTTATAGCTTTTTTTCTGTGAGAAAAAGCAATAACAATATGTGTACGCATACCAGGTCTGGCTGATAAAGATAGAAGCAAGAAGGAAATGGATCCGGAGAGGAGATAAGCAGGATAGAGAGGACGCAGAGAGATAGAGAAGGTGAGAGCGGAGGGGGAGCGGAGAAAACCATAAGTCATGCAACAACAGAAAGAGGAGGGAGTGCAGTGATTCCACCAGTGAAGCGAAAGAACGGAAGGAACGGACGCAAGCCGAGATAGTGTGCTCGGTGAGTAACTTCGGAACATAGGAGATCAATAGTGCGATGTCCAGTTTGAGTTGAGAGCACACGGACTCGAGATATTAGTGCAGGGGCACTGCATGACTGGTGAGCCCCGGGGAGGTCGTATAGGTAGTGATGCCACGATGGTTGTCCTTCTGAGGAGCTTATCAAACCTGGTGAGATAGATGCTATATACTTAAGGGAGCGATGATTAACGTATGCAGTGGGGGCGGCAAGAAATCTGGGCACATGTTCATGAGATGGAAAGTACTTAATCACAACCATATATACTGTATCGATGTAAGTTTATAGACAGATTTTTTGTTACGTTTGGGTATTATTGTACCTGTAAGAGCTTTCCGAATCTCACAGAGTTGTGTGAATAAGAATTGAGACTAGAAAGGACCGATTGTTTAGTACGCACGAATCATCGTATAAGAAGTAATTAGAATTTACAAGAAAGTGTGGATTTATTTGTTATAATTATACTCGATTTGGTAATTTCTGAAATATTTTTGTCGGTTATTAGAATTATGAAATAAGCATACCTAGTAACTCTTACCATATATGGTAGCTAACTTGAAATTCTATGATGCAGGTGGCATGATGAAATACCTGCAATAAATGATTCCTTTCATGAATAAATGAGGCATGCTCATGATAAAAGCATAAGTTTCGAATCCCAGTCTTTCATTAACCCTTTGTGTGCAGTGTCTACTGAATTAGTATGGACTACTACTGATAAAAAAAAACTTATTGCATATGTGATCATAAATAATTAAATAATCTATCTTAAAAACAGTAATCAACAATATCTAAGCTAAGAAAAGTGGGAGTTATTGAATATGAAAACGGCAAAATTAAATGAAAAATAGAAATAATACATAATCAACGAAAGACATGAAATACATAGGTAAGAAGGAACAACTGAGGAATGTGTAAGGCAATGGTCAGGAGTCAAGGAATATATGTAGATTAATATTAGTAGTTATGTTGCAAGAATGATTAAAAAAGAAAATATGTACCCAGTGTGCAGTCATGTGTATCTGTTACTTTAACTCAAAATATTTTCCTTTATAAACATAGTTTTACTATCCTCTTGAGGCAAAGACACTATTACCGGGTTGGTGACAATAATTACTTGATAACAGACAAATGTATTAACTACTCCAGTCCATTTTTGCATTATGAAAAAAAAGAAAGAAAGAAAAAAAAAGTTTTACAATTTTATAGAATTGCTTAAAGATTTTTTTTATACAATACATCCCATCTCCTACAGAGTAAAAACAAAGCAAAACAAAAAAAGACAAGCACCTATTGCATTATTTCTTTGTCATTGTTATCACATGATTATTTGTGTTCAATGTTTAGCCACTGTCGTTACTATTACCATTATTGTAGGACCATCTTATTTGGTTATTTGGTGTAAGTTTAAGCAAGTAGCCTTATGAGTGGCTCATGGTAGGGCCATCCTGCTGCTACTATGAACTGAGCTTGTTGAGGGATAGAATTTGTTCAGCCCTTGTTCTTTCCCTATCACTGATGGGCAGTTCAACCAATAGTCAAATTTTTCTTTAAACACTGTCGTCATCATCATCATCATCATCATCATCATCACCATCATCATCACATTGTCGGGGGTTCGGCTGGTACTGAATTCAACCAATAGGGTAATTTTACTTAAAACACTATCTTCATCATTATCATTTACATAATGGTGGTTCGACTGGTACTGAATTCAACCAATAGCACATTTTTCTTTTGTCATCATCATTAGCCTATGAATATCATCATCGTTATCATTATTGCCATTCTTATTATTATAACTAATAATAACTAACAACAACAACAGCAATGATGATGATGATGATGATGATTGATGATGATTATAGTGATGATAATAATAACAATAATGATAATCAATATTATTTTTGTTGTTTTTGTTATCATTATAATTTTTATTATTGTATCATTGTTATCATCATTGCTCTTGTTGTTGTTGTTGCTATTATTTTTGTTATTGTTATTATTATTATTAGTAGTAGTATTTTATTATTATTATTATTATTATTATTATATTATTATTATTATTGTGTGTTATGGTATTATTATTACGTAATTAATAAAATTATTATAATTGTTATTGTTATTGTTATTATTATTATTATTTATTATTATCATTATTATCATTATTATATTTTATTATTATTATTATTATTATTATTATTATTATCATTTTTGTTGTTATTATTATTACTATTATTGTTATTGTTACTGTTACCATTTTTATCAGTTAATTTTGTCATTATTTTTTTCATTATCATTACCATTACTATTACCCTTTTGAATAATTAATTTTATCAATTACTATACTAGAATGTTATTGTAATAAATATTATGCCATAGTTAATCTTATTATTTATGAATGTTCACAACAGTACAAGTATTATCATACTTTGAACTATTATCTCCTTACTTATGTCATATTTCATTTATTTTTACTTCACATTATTCTATTATTTGTTGTCAATTGTTGTAAATTGCTGTGCTGTCACTGCTACTGCTGCTGCTGCTGCTACTATTACACCCCCACACATTACTAATGAATATTATTGTTATTTTTGTCAGTTATAATTTTTCTTTTGAATTTATTAAGTAACTGTCAAGATAATATTGGGGATGGTGATAAAAAGGGTAATTATAATATATCTGGTATTAATTACCACTGATAACTATAGAGGTTATTATTATTGCAGGTACAGTGGTTAAGGCAGTTCAAAAATCATTATTATTGTTTTATTTTTTTCGTTCATACATTCCATTCAGAATTACGATCGCATACAGATGGTGCTAGTAATCTGGGGAAAGTATGTTTCTAATCTATAATAAGTAATTTCAAACGAAGTTCAAAAGTAGAATATAATGTTTATATTTTCTCCCTTCATTGCGGAAAACTAAATATTTCTACCATTGTTAATTTCAATATGAAATTCAATTTTTTTGATAAAGATGACCTTAAAAATATATTGTGATGTTCACTTTTTACCAGCATTTCTCAATCTATTTTTGTTAAATATTTCCGGGGACTGATTAGCTTATAGCCATAGTTATTGGCCTTCTATTTTCTTATTCAGAGAAAGTCCAGCTTTGCCATAAATTGACCTCTTTTTAGTTTGGGGAATAAAGTCAAAAAACGGTTTCATGTATTCATAATTTGCTGCTAACTTCCAATATGTATATAATAATGCATTTGCGTTCAGCTGGGTGTGTGGAATGCTTGCTAACAAAATCACTTCCGCATTCAAGAGTGAGTCGTATCTGCATACAAGCGAGTGGGTGAAACGTTTTATAACAAAAGATGATGCGAGTGAATGAGTCAAACGTTTTGTACCCCAATACACCTCTGCATTCAACTGAGTGAGTCAAACATTTCCTACAGGTGTGGCGAGATACTGACACTCAAATGCTTGATGGGGGAGGCGTCGCCTGGAACCTCAACTGCAGGCAAGCACGGAAGGTTCACAACTGCACCCTCTGTTCATACAGAACACCAAGTCGTTCCGATATCGATAAACATATCCGGACCCACACCGGGGAAAAGCCCTTCTCTTGTCCCCATTGTTTGTATCAGACTGCCAACAAGTCCAATCTTAAGAGGCACATGCGCACTCATACGGCAGAAAATATACACCTTTGACCTATTGTGCTTGTTGAGAGTTAAGTCCTGTTTCTAACTAGATTATCTGTTGGAATTGCTCGTTTAATACTTGTCACTATTTTAATGTTCCACACGTTTCATTGTGTGTTTTGATGTTGAGAAGTTACTAAGAAGGGTCGAATAATATCGTGTTAGTGGTTTCTTCTGTATTGTGCAAGTTAGTGAGTGGAAGTTGTTGACTGAGTAAAGAAGAGATTTTAATTTTGGAATTGCTTGATTACATAAAAAGGAAAACTAATGAAAATATATATTTAATTTAATATTACAGATGACTTAAAATATATTTAAACTGTAGTATTTGTGATACAATAACCCTACTGTGAATTAAGAAAATAAATTATTATGATTTGTTCTGTTTTGTTATTTACTTAGCCCAACCCTTTAACCATAAAACTATGAAAAATGAAAGTGTTTAATATACTGATATTACTTGAAACAACAATTGTCTAGCGTTAAGCTTTAGGAATGAAAGCTGAAAAAATGTTTAATATCTTTTTATTTTATTTGCTATTAAAACGTTTCTATTACGATGATTAAAAGTAACAGTAAATTTTCATTCTGATTTATACAACAAATACACACACACACACACACACACACACACACACACACACACACACACACACACACCACACACACACACACACACACAACACACAACACACACACACACACACACACACACACACACACACACACACACACACACACACACATACACATATATATATATATGATGTGTGTGTTATAGATGCATATATATGAGTCGTATTCAGGTAGAAAAGGTATAAATGAGAACGATTACTTTCACAAGAGATTTATTTAACCGGTTTCGAATATGAAAAAATCTTCGTCAGAAATACATGTATTTCTGTTTGTATTGTGAAGATATTCATGGTCATTCATACCTCTTGTACATATATATCTATAGATACAAATAAATTTATGAATAGGTATATGTATGTATATATAAATGCACACACACACACACACATACATTTGTAATGTACATGTGTAATATATGATAATATATATATATATATATATATATATATATATATATAATATATATTTATATATACACACACACACAAATATTTACTTGTATACATATATATTGATATTGATATTTATATCTATACAGAGTATTTCACTGAGGCGTTTGTGCGAAATTCTGCATCTTATGAAACGAAAGCTGCTCACCAATTCCTTGTCATTTGCACATAGTTAATACTTGCATCTCTATCTGTTAAAAGCCATTTATAAGGAGAATACATTAATACAATCAAATGAGAGACACCAAACCCTTTACGAGTCTAAGCATCAAACTCTGAAAGAAGAGAAAAAGGGGAAAAATTAAACTCGAAGTAAACAAGGTGAGATGTGTACCAGCATTCGAGCCCCATGTTCTAGCCTCCCACTGAACCCGTCAAAACATTCCCAACAGGTGTGGCTGGACAATACCAGTCCTTCCCTGGGCGGAATGGAAGGCAGCGGCATGGGCTCGGACGGGGCTCGCTTCGCCTACCCCAAGAAAGGGCCCAAAGTGCACCAGTGCCCGCGGTGCCCCTTCGCCAGCCCGAACCGCTCTCACTTCGGCGATCATTACCGATCTCACACGGGGGAAAAGCCCTTCGCCTGCTCTGAGTGTCCCTACCGCTCGGGGGACAAATCCAACTTCAAGAAACACCTGCGGATACACACCGGAGACAAGCCTTTCAAGTGTCCGTATTGTCCTTACCGGTCCGTCCAGAGGAGCAGTCTCAAGGTTCACATGTACACGCACATGTGAGGTGCAGCGACGTCAGAGAGATCTGTGCAATGTAATTAATGTTCATTGATGTCAAAGTTGAATATGTTGAAGGATAATTCATAGGCTTATATTCAGAGTTATGATATGTATAACTTCAATTATTTGGCCATCAAGTGTACTTCAAAACTACCTTTTAGGTTTTGCAAATATGACGATTGTATTCACTTCTTAAAGAAAATGTACGCACGGGGACTGTTAGAGTGATATATAATATATATACAAATACATATATATATGTGTGTGTGTAAATATGTATATATATACATATACATGAATACACACACACCACACACACACACACACACACACATACACACAACACACACCATACA